TCCCCCCACACACCATCCCTCACATAAGTTCCCCCCTTTGATCAACATACATCACACTCTTCCTCTCAATCACCAGATCTTCTCCTCCTCCCCTCTCTCCCCAGCCACCCAGCACGAACGACACGAGACAGAAACAGGTCACGCACGCCGACGCCCACCCAACCCTCCCCGCCCCCCTCCCTCACCCATGTCCACAGACCACTGGACGGACGACGCAGCAGTGAGCGAGTGTCTTCGGTGTGTGCGAGTGTTCTCGACGTTCCGGCGGCGTCACCACTGTCGGCTCTGCGGCGGAGTCTTCTGCCACGAATGCTCGGCGTCCAAGGCACCGCTGCCGTCGCTGGGACACTCCTCGCCTGTGCGGACGTGTCTCACCTGTGCCTTCCTTGTCTTTACCATTGATAGCTCTGCTGCTGATGTCAAATCGGCTGCTCTTGTACTTCCATCGCCCGCTATGGCATCGTCCTCTGCTCCGTCTCCGCCTCAAGCTCTCATCGAATTGGCAAATGGCGACGAGCCGAGCCCAGATCACCTCGCTGATCTTCTCCTCGCCACCACGGCAGTCCCTCTCTACTGCGCGGTGTACGGGAAGATCGGTGGCATTGCTCACGCTGTTGGGCTACTCCTCCGTCCGCACTCGCCCGAGGTCGTCGTGACTGTCGCCTGTCTCGCCCTCGCCCGCCTCGCCCGATTCGAGGTCTTTAAGGTCCTCATGTCCGCCCATGCCCCGCTCCTTCACCCGGGCCTCGTCGCTCTGCTCGACTCGCGGTCACCGGCTGTTGTCCACGCTGCCTCGCTCACTCTTGCCGAGCTCTGCGCCTGCTCCACCTCGACTCGGGCTGCGCTCGGCGCAGACGGTGCCCTCCATGCGATCTTTGCCCACATCGACGCTGCTGTCTCTGCTGCCGAGCGCGCACTCGCGTCGTCGGCCGTCGCCACAGCCGCGGCTGTCTTTGCGCGCGCTGCGTCGCTCTTTCGTGCCGCCGCGCAGCTTCTCCTCGCTCGCGAGAACAGGGTCCTCCTTTTTGACGCGCTCCTCGCCTCGCTCGACGGCACTCCTCATCATCCGTCTTCGCTCTCGGTCGACACACTCACGTCGCTGTTCGAGGTGGCCAGCGGCATCAACCACGCCCTGCTCTCGACGAGCTCCTCCCCGACCTGGGCTGCCAAGCTCGCGCCGCCCGACGCCGAGGCCCTGCCGGCTGCTCTTTACGCGCTCACCTCGCTTGTGGCGGCGCTTGCCGAGGGAGTTGGCTCGATCACGGACACCGGTAACGACGCCCTTGTCACACTCCTCTTTGAGCTTCCCGTAGCGCACTTTCTCCTCCAGGCAATCGCGCTCTTTGCCTCGCCTCTCGCCTCGCTTGCCGACCGGGCCACCGCATCCGAGTTCTCCTCACTCGCCGATCGGCTCGCCACTGTCTCTCCTTTCACGCTCGCGCTTGACGCGGCAGCCAGAGGACGCGGGACGTCGGCTCTCACCTCTCCGCCTGCCCTCCCTCCCGCAACGGCCGCAGGCCTTCTCGGTGCAACGCACAAGCCTGCGGCGCCGTCGTTGTCGATGCCGATTGTGTCGATCTCTGTGGAGGGCTCGCGGATGGCAGTCCACGCGCTCGCGCTCCTCGCGCGCTTCCCTCTTTTTGCAGACTGGATGGCGCTCCTTGCGACGCCGCCGTCCGGGACCGGGCGCAAGACCTCGTCCGGCACGCTCCTCCTCTACGCCCTCCGCGATGTGCTGTCGGCACCGGCGCTCGCCGACGAGGCGTACTGCGTCGGGCAGGTCCTGTCGGTTGTCGGCCTCGCCGCGGCGCACAAGTCGTCGCTCATGCTCGCCTCGCTCTTTCCGCACCTCATCCACCTCCTCGGCTCGCCTGCGTCGAATCCGTGCGTGGCCGGGGCGGCCGCCGGAACCCTCATCGCCATTGCACAAGCGGAGGGCACCGATGTTGTGGCCTCGCTGCTTGAGGACGACCTTGACGCCATCCACGGGCTCCTTGCCTCGCGGCACGCCGGGCTCCACGGGTACGGGGTCGGGCTGGTCATTGTTGTGGCCGAGACGGAGGCTGGGCGGATTGCGCTCGGGCGGTCGCCGTGCCTCCGGGCGCTGATGGGCATGGTGGTGCCGGGTGCCGATGCGCAGAACCTGGTTCTTGTCTGTCTCGCGGTTGGCCTTCTCTCGCTCAATCTCACCAACGCGATACGGATGGTGGCCGGCGGCCTCCTCTCGCCGCTTGTTGCGCTGGCGACCTCGTCGGCGTCGCGCGACATGCGGCTCCAGTTCCTCGCCTCGTGGGTCCTTGTCTCCCTTCTCGCACACGCAACGTCGGCGTCGAACAAGGCCGCCCACGATGCGGCGGGGACAGCAGCAGTCATTGCCAGCGTCTCGTCTGAGTGGCGCGAGCTCGTCTCCTCCATTGTTGACGATGCGCGAGCCACTGGGTTGCTGCCGCAGCTCCCGGCCGGGTGCGAGGTGTGGCGGTCCGAGGCCCACTTTCCGGTCCATCACCTCACGCGGCTTTCGCAGGCGAGCCCCGACCTTGAGGTGCGGACTTGGCTAGCATGGGCACTCTCGTGGCTCTCGTTCCAGGACGACTACCACGGCCCGTTTGCGTCTTCGCTCCTTCGGACCATCCACATTCTCGGCGAGACCGAGTCGCGGCACGTCCAGTCGGGCGTGGCCGTCACGCTCTACAACATGTGCCGATCGCTCTCGCCTGATCTCCACGCGGCACTTGTGGCGGACCCGCGAATTGTGCCGCTTCTGGAGAAGCTTGCTGGCTCGCACTATCAGGACACGAGGGATCTCGCGCAAGACGCACTCTCGGCACTCCGCGAGGCCGAGGCGGAGGGCACTGCCTCTGCGTCTGCACCCTCTATCCCCCCTCCTACCGGGCATCTTGTCGTGCCCGGCCAGGCAGCAAGTTGAGCTCCAACTACGTCGCGGTTTACTACGCCTCGTCAGTCAGGGTTGACACCTGGCGCCACTCGCCGTCGAGGTCCTCCTTCCACAGCGTGACGGCACCGTCAGCGCCGGCGACGGCCAGAATGTTGCCGGTGAGCGAGAAGGAGACGGACCACGGGGTCTCGGTCAGCTGGGCAATGACGGTCTTGCTCCAGTGCGGCTCAGAGCCGCGCGACCAGACGACGACCTCGCCGTCCTGGCCGGCCGAGGCAATGGTGGAGGTGGGCAGGCCGACGTTGGGGGCCCAGGCGACGGACCGGACCCACTCGGTGTGGTGGGCGAGCTCTGCATCCTGCAGCCAGCGCGACTCTTGAGTCGAGTACCGCCAGATGCGGACCATGTTGTCGCAGCCACCCGAGACAAGGCGCTGGCACAGAGCAGCAGAGCCGTCGTCGGCCTTGCCTGCGCTCGTCAGAGCGCCCTCGGGCAGGGCCGGGGCCCACGAGACCGAGTTGACGCCGACCCGGTGCGCGTCCTTCACAACGGTCACCGTCCAGTCGGTCGCTTCTGTCTTGGAGATGATGGAGAGCGAGCCGTCGGATGAGCCGGCAGCAAGCACAAGGCCGAACTCGTGCGGCGCCCACGCGATGGTGTTGACCGAGCCTGCAGCCTCGCTAAACTCATAGACCACGACCCACGAGCCGGCGGTCTCCTCCTTCCACACCAGCACCTTCTTGTCGTACGAGCACGAGGCAAGCATGGAGCCGAACATCGGGTGGGCCCACGCCACCGCCCACACAGGCGCCGAGTGTCTGTCCTCCCCACACACGAGTCGAGTCCATTGATGGGGAAGACGTGCAGTATGAATGCCAGTACGATTGCCAGACAATGACGAGTACGGTGGCGAGTACGACGGCAGCGGCGAGAGGGCGCGACAGCCACGACCAATACGACCAATACGACCAATACGACCAATACGACCAATACGCAACAGTGAGTAGACCTGAAGGAGGCCAGCAGCGACCGATGACCACCACCACGTCAGCACATGGAGAGCCATTGACCCATAACAGAAGCCACGATGACGGACATATATACCCATTCCCCCCATTCTCCCCTCCGTCCCCCCCGCCCCCCCCCCTCCTCCACCACTCTCCACT